TGATCAATAAATGCTGTTCATTCTTATCATTCATCAATAAAAAAACCAGGAACTGTAATAGCTACAGACTGGACTTTTCTGCATTTAATTGTCAGGCATTACATTATTTTATATACCGCTTATTTCGCACAGCATTTGCAAGGTTCACAGGCAAGTGTCAAATTCCCACATAATCATCCAAGTTTCCCTTTGCTACATAACCATCAAAGGCATAGAAGCTCATTGGCAAATTTCCTTCCTATGATTGTACTGCACTGCAAGATGGGCCCAAGGTTCTGAAGGGCAGTTTTGCTGAAATAAGTGCAGATGCAGTCTGGCCACACTGGACATCGCCAGGCAAGTATTTTGCATCAGCTTTCAAATGGGGTATGATCAAAAACTCCCATCACTTCCAGCCAGTACCCAAACCAGTGCTGTCTTTGTACAACTCAAAGAAGCATCAAATAAATGTTCTGATCAAAGAAAGCATCAAAGAGAGACCTGCAAAAAGTAATCCCTATTAAAAGTTTCTCAAGGCCAAGTATTGTCAACACCACTCTGGCAACATCTGTCCCTTTCTCTCTGCCGAACAGCTGGCTTGTTAAGAAGTTCTCTATACACCTGAACCACACTTTCACCTTAGGAATCCCAAACTCCCTCTTGTCAATACTTCTGGTGTTAGAAAGGGGCTTTTAATTTGATCAACCTGTTTCTTCTTTCATGCACATGCTCCTGATAGGTAATTCTTTCTACCAAGGAAAGATAACATTAAAGATTTTTCTAGGAGCAGTGAGAAACAAACAAGGGTTATAAATGCAGACATGCTGCTCTGAATGCTCTTACCAGCTGCTGTTCCTTACAGAAATAACTAGGACCTTGAAGTCTTCTGAGGTCCTTGATGGGGTAGTGCAATTTGGCAGCAGCAAGCACAACTAAACGTTGTTGGCTTTTGTCCCTTTGCCTTTCAAATACTAATTCAGAGAAAGGGGAAGGCTTTCTAAAAAAAAAAAAAAACCCTAGGATTGGGGAGCAGCAGCAATATGCAAGTCAAGTTTGATAGGAAACTTTTAAAAATACCAAAAACAGTCTTTCCAGCGGTGGGCTAAGAATCCAGATGGGAATGGTCCTTCAAAGAAGTTCAATTCTTTGAAAGACCTTTCAAAGTGGAGGCTCCTTATTTGAAGGCTTTTAAACAGAGGCTGGATGGCCATCTGTTGGGGGTGCTTTGAATGTGATTTTCCTGATTCTTGGCAGAGGGTTGGACTGGATGGCAAATGAGGTCTCTCCCAACTCTGATTCTATGATTCCTTTTTAAAATCCTGGCAAGTTTTATGGCGTGGCTAAAATGTTATTAGCAGATTCTAGTTCTGGCAAAACACTGCAACCCCAATAATATCAGGAAGGAGAATAGTCAGAAAAGGAGGCTCAACAGTTAATTCAAGCTATGCTTGCAATATAGTTATAGACCCAAATGTGGGCAAAGGATTTTGAAGAAACTATTGTACTCTACAAAATGGCAAAGATAGGACAGAAACAGAGTCTTCAAAAGAAGTTACTTCACTGCTTTGTTTTTGTGTCATTTATGGTAACCCTAAGATAAGCCTGTCATGAGTTTTCTTCACAAGATTTATTCAGAGGGGATTTGCCTTTCTCTGAGGCTGAGATAGCGTAACATGCTCAGAGTTACCCAGTGGGTGTTGAAAGTGAAGAAGGATCAACACTTGTATGTAATGCATGCCTCCTGTTGGGTTTTCAGCTCTGCTTTTTCAGTCTATGTAATTCAAGATGGTTTGCTTCCTGCCTGCATGTAGAGGTCACTTCCCCCTCCTTCCCAGAAGTCTTTAGTGTGATTTATTGCCCTTTGTTTGGGAATGGAGGATCATGAAACCTCTCTGCCTCAAGATGGCTTATGCACAGACAAGAGAGTCAGCATTAGGGACTCTTCAACCACTGTTAGGTAACTTTCTTTTGTCTATCTAAAATGTATTGCCTATAACAATAAAGTTGTACCTTCTTTTAATCTTACCAAAGCACCCTGTGGATTTTCTCTTCTGTATCCTACCATGAATTCATATATAGGACAGCCTACCCTGCACTTTACCCTTCTATAGATATCAAATCTGCCTACAGTGATGTGGTTTCCATGGCTGAGTAGGAATGCAAATTCCTGTCTGAGTCCAAGGCTGAAATCACTGCACTGGCTTTTGACTTGACTGCAAGTTTGATTGCATTTCTTTTCTTGCCTTTGTTCCCAAAAAGGGGAGTGGTCTTTCATATGGATCAACCTTCCTTGGGTTCACCTTAAGCAAACATCTGTAGCACGATGCAGACTTGTGACTCCAAAGCTGCCACTTTTCTCCTCTTGCATGGTATTTTATCTTTGATGGAGTGGCTGGGTGGGCATTGAAAGCTTGCATGTGTATTTTGTGCCTTTTAGTTTTTATACATTACCAGCAAAAGTAACAATAAGCTTGGTCAGGATTTAGTGCACTGGAAGAATACCATAGAAGGGCTTTATTTTTCAAGAAGACAACTGTAGAAGAATCTTGCTTTGGCACAGATAAAAGGTCCTAGCCTTTTCTTTGTGCCCAAGGCTGAAAAGATGGGCAAACCCATAGAAAGGAAAACCAAGATAGTTTAGGAAGAAGTCCCCTTTAACACAACTTGATCAGAACAAACAAAATCACCAACAGAATTTTCTCCTTGTTCCATTCTGTACAGCATAAACTAAGAATAGACACTCAGATTCTGAGACCTGAAAAAAAGAAGCTGTGCAGGTCTCCAAATGGTTCCCTGTGACACATGCCAAGATTGTCCAAGCTTTCCCACATTTTACAAGAGCAGATTTCCAAAACAATTGAATATGCCAACCTAGCAAAGAAGAATATCTGCCAAATGGTCTACAAAGGAGGTCCACCCCTGCATTACATGCTTATAACATTTTCTATCTGTGTTTAGACCACTGCTGACCACATCTATCTGCTGCTGTTTTTCAACAAAAGACAGGTAGGGTTTTTTTCTCTCTCTAATATTATTTGGCAGCTAAACACCATCTGCTTCTGGCAAATGAAGAATCATGCTCCCCAGAGGCTTCTGGGGCATGATTCCATATTTTTATCTGAATTGTTTTCACAATGAGCTTGAGGGGCTCCGGGGGCTGCTCAACAAACGCCAATGGATTTCATGTGACCACACAATTCCTATGGCTGAAACTGTAAAATATGAGATGTGCAAGTTGAGCAAAGACTTGTAATCGAGCATAATATATTGGTTATTTTTCAGGACATGGATATGGGCTAGAACAAAAAAATGGTGTGCTGGGGAGAAGAAGATTACCTACACAAACAAACTCCACTTAATGTTTACCATATAAGCAAGCGAGATAGGTTCATCACAAGAAGCACAGGATAGGGTCAAAATAATAGTACAACCCCCAATGGCTGAATTCAGGATTCGATGGTAATCTTCCTGGAAAAAAGGCTCTAAACAGAAGGAGATATTACAGTATTGTAATACCAGAATTCTGCAGGGACAGTCTACACCAGACCTGCACAACATATGGCTCGTAGGCTGCTTGTGGCCCACCAAAGCATTTGGGTAGCCCAAAGAGGCTGCCACTTTCACTGGTTGGCCCAGAGACATCCATGCAGAGGCCAGAGCACCTTTTGGGGAACAGGAGGCACTGAAGAGGATAGCAGTGGCAGCTATAGCAAAGCCATGAGCCAAGGAGAGTCGGCGTGCTTGGGAAGAACCAAGGTTACATCAACCATACTCCTCATTAGGCTTGGGCTCCTCATTTAGCTGCCAGGGTGAACCACATGAAGTAGGCAGGAGATGGAGTCACCCCCAGCCTCCTCCTTCAAAAAAGATGAATTTGGGTGCAAGAAGTTGCTGAGAATCAGACAGAGAGTGGAAACAGCTGATCTTGGAACAAGGAGAAAGAGGGGACAAAACTGCCAAAGTGAAGGATACTGAAGAAACTAAAAATCTGCTGCTTGACAGATTGCATTGCCATATATCTTGTGGCACCTACAAGGTCAACCATTTTAGTACAGTTCAAAGACATAGGGAGCAAGCTTAACCTACAAATTAAGATTAGCAAAAGGAGAACTGAAAGAACTATTTGATAGAACTTGGAACTCATTTACTAACTCCATGTGTAAAAGCAATGGTGAATGTATACCGCCAAACGTGCAAAAACGATTGTGGTTGAGCAATTAAAAAACACATTACAATAATGATATGTATCGGACAAAATTAGAATAATGTAGAATCAATAGAATTTACAGTGATGTATTTTTATAATGCCGTGTAAATAATAGGAGGGCTGGGGTACATATCTGGGAGTAAAAGATGTGATAAGATAATTGTACTATGTTTTAATTGGGAATAAATATTATTAAAAAAATTTAAAGAGATCTACGCTATAAAATTAATGTAGTCTGGCACAACTTTTACTGCTGTAGCTTGATGTTATGGAATCCTGAGTGTTGTGATTTGGTGAGGAGTTAAAAATCTATCTGCAGCCCAAAGAAGCCTATTTTAAATTTCACCCCTACCCATTGCCAAATTGTGCACGTTGGGTCTATACCCTCACATGGAGGAGAGGGTGAGGATAGTCTCCTCTTTACCTCATGGGTATGTCTCCTGAATGCATGAATTTTTTGATAGGATAGGACACTGAAAAACAATGGCCACCACTACCACTTGCAATCTGAAATGGTATGGCTCAGAATTCTGCTACCACTGCCTAACATCCCAAGTCATGTAAACTCTAAAGCAGGCATTGGCAGACTTGGGTCCTCCAGGTGCTTTGGACTTCAACTCCCACAAGTCCTAACAGCTGGTAGGCTGTTAGGAATTATGGAAGTTGAAGTCCAACACACCTGGAGGGCCCAAGTTTGCCCATGCCCGCTCTAAAGCAACAATTTCATTGGGTTACCATAAAGACCAAATTCTTTTAAACAGTTGGAAAGGTTTGAAGGTTATTTTAGTACAACACAGAAACCTGAACACCAGAGTGTAGAAATAGAGGTTTTATTAACCAAATACCTCAACAGATCATCTACTAGCATACCTAAACCAGTGTAAATGCTGTGTTTTCTGTTCAAAGTATTCTGGGAACAGCAGCTTTAACAAGAATGGAGGATCTCCAGCACACTCTTCAACACCTTCACAGAACTATTGTTCTGACGGTTAACTAGATTGGCAAAACAAGCTTAGGTTTGCAAACGTGACACAACAACAGCAGACTCTTGAAATACTGAAGATGCTAGCAAGTATATGTTTATGAAACCTCAATGTATTTAGAACAGAAACCTTTGTTGAGACAAATTTAGCTTCCCTTTTGCAACACAGGACAAGAATCACATTAAGTCACTTCAAAAACAACCCCAAGAACCTCTTGCTGCTACTGCTAGAACAGTAGCACCTACAACCCAGACTGTTCAGACACAACCAATACATTCAAAAACCCAATGTCCACAAGTCAGACATACTAAAAAGTCTGACGGGGGAAATGTTTAACAATTGCACTGAAATGCATTATTTGCCAGTTAACATGTCCTTATGCTCTTGGACAGCCACAGGTTCATTTTTAACTTAAGAGTAAAGAGGAAAACAAGAGCCAGTGCCATCTGATTTGGTAAATGTTACCCTTAGGAGGCAAGTATATGGAAGAGCACAAGACACTAGCCGGCAGCTGAATTCATAGAGAGGCACCAAGTTGTGGGGAAGGTTTCCTGTTTCTTGGCAGAAATCTAAAGGGCCTCTTCTCTGCCCACTTGAGGCATTCTTGCCACCTTCTCAAAAAGGTCTCTACATTTGGGATAAACGTCCTTTTTCATCTGCCATGGCTTCATGGCCTATTTTAATATTTCCTGGCAAGGAAAGAGTGGGGAATATGAGAGAAAACACACCTGTTCTGTACTCTCTTTGCATTGACTTGGAGGGCTCCTCCAGCTGGTCTATGAGCTTTAGCCCAAGCCAGGTATGAGGCTGCTTTAGCAGCTTCAGACAAGCGCCAGTGACTAGTAGGGAAGAGGGTGCCCTTCAGGTCTGAAGAGAAGAGAAGCAACACTGAAGAGAAGCAAATGGCTCTGGGGAAAGGATAAGAGGAAGAACACTTCTGAACCCAGTTCTATAGAAAGGGGCCATGAAGGAGACAGGTTCACATTCTAACAGCCCTTGGGCAATATGTGTACATAAATCAATAGATATTTATATTTAATAATAAGTATATAAAATAGGATTAAAATAAATCATAGTAGATTTACAGGTTGAAAAAAGGAAAAGAAAATCACAGTACAGCAATATCCCTAGTGTCCCACATCCCAGATGTACACTCTTATCAGGTTTACAAAAGCGCCATAGAAAAGTGTCTCAGAAGAAAGCTAGTGTTCTGCTCTGCCTTCCTCTATGTGAAGAACAACTCCAGAATTTCTAAACAGAGTTTTATAATCCACCAATTGACCAGCTCTGCATATTTTTTCCTCCACTGCTAGCCTATGGACCAATAGCCCAATGACTGCAGACATGGACATCCCTCTCATCACCCAGTCTCAACAGACCTGAAGTTGATCTGCTCATCCTTATACGATGGCTCCCCCTCAGCAAAGCAACTCAAGGGACACTGTGAGAATGAGGCAGTGGTTGAATTCTAATAACAGGGGACAGGTTCACTCTAAGGATTCTCTGTGCTCTCCTCCTCAATTCGTCATCAGAGGAGCTGTTCACCTTGATGGCCTGGAATTTCAGCAGGTTTAATGTTTTCGAAGCCAGCTCCACTTGACTGGGAGATGGCACAGAACTCGGTTTCTTCCTGCATGGCAATTCCTTTCTCTCCTCCCCTTTTTTCCTTTTCTGCCCAACAGTCTCTTGAAGGCTGCTCTCTCCTCTCCACTCTGTTTTGTCTACTGATGGCTCCTTATTTCTAGTAGCTGCCGTGCTACAGCTTTGGGAGGGGCTTCCGGAAATTCTGCCATTTAGGATTCCAGAGGCTTTGCAGGCATTGCTTTCCCTCAGTATCCCACCCTTTGGTCCTTTCATAAGGCTCACAGTCAGAGAAGTAGAGTCCGGCACTTTCTTTATTATATGCCTATAATCTTTCGAGTCCAGTTGGTTGGCCTTGATTGTGGCAGACTGCCTGGATGCGCTAGCTGCCTTGAGGAGCTTAAGGTCTGAAGGAGATATCCCAAGGTGCCCCTCTTTACATTTTGACTCCAGGCAGGATGCTGTTGCTTTTATAGGGACCAAGGCCTCCAGCACAACAGACAACCTCATTGCTGGGTACACACCAGGGTACATGTTGGCAGGGAAACCCATTGCTGAGGCTCTTGAAGTGCCTGAACGTGTCCGTTTCAGTGAGTTCAACAGGAGGTTTGTAGCATTCCTATTCTTGGATAATGGCCTGGCAGAGTTTTTAGAAGAACTTACTATAATACCTGCTAAGTGAGAAGATGCTTTGGCCATTGTTCCCATGTTTCTGGCAGGAACCTTAGCAGACTCTGAAATAGGGGCAGTTGTTGAAGTGTCCTGGGCACTGCCTTTTGTTTGGCTGGGCATCCTGGCTGTGCATGAGCTGTACCCATACACGTCTTTACTCCTTAGAATAGTGGGCTGGTATCCTTCTTCCCTGAGCCCTTGAAGAAAAGCTACTAGCTGGGTCTCTGTGTCAGACAGATCTTTAGACATGGGGTTGAACACCCTGAGAGCTTCTTCCAAGGCTTTCTGTCCTGCAGAGGAGATCCTTGACCAGGAATGGACAGCTTTTTCTTCCGCATTGTCCGCCTCAACATTCATGGCATTAGGCTGGCAGGAGCTTCTAACAGGTCCAAGCCACTTGGAAGTCAACACAGGTCACCTCAAATGAAAAGGGGGAAAAAGCAGTTAACTTACAACCCAATAAACATTTGCCTTCAAAATATTTTTCTTAGTGAAATCTCTAAAAATGTTATCTAGTATCGCACAGTCACAATATAGTATGGCCTTCAATTTGTCTGTACTATTCTACTTCAATTATGCATGCCTTTGGGGATTATCTGAAAAAATGGAATCAATCATTTGTAGCAGGGACCAAGCATTCTGAAGATATGGTGCCACACGTTTTTTCTCTAACAATGGATTCCAATTTGGTTTTGGTCTAAATTCAAAATATCGAGTTGCTTATAAAACTCCACAGAACCTAGAACTGGATAAAGTATCTTTTCCTACACAATTTGGTTTTGGTCTTAATTCAAAATGTTGAGTTGTTTATAAAACTCCACAGAACTTAGAACTGGATAAAGTATCTTTTCCTACATGCATCTGCCTGAAGATCTACATTTACAAAAACCCTCCAAACGTGAAGCTTGGAAAACAGATGCAAAACAGGACACTGGCCACCAGTCTAAAATCACAAGTGGTGAAAACTGCTGTGACAGATATAGATATCCTCTGTAAGAGTTTTTTTTAAATTGTGTCAGAAGCAAATTGAGAATATACTGCAAGTCGCTTCTAGTATGAGAGAACTGGCCATCTACAAAGGCGTTGCCCAGGGGATGCCTAGATGTGTTACCATCCTGTGAGAGGCTTCTCTCATGTCCTCATGTGGGAAGCTGGGGCTGACAGACGGGAGATCACCCCATCTCATTAATTCAAACCACCGACCTTCAGATCTTCAGGTCAGCATTCAGCCGGCACAAGGGTTTAACCCATTGTGCCACCATGGCGATAAAACCACCTGACAGCCAAGGAAACACAAGGAAGGATTATCTTATAGTAGTTGGCCCTCCTTTCCCTAAGCTCCTTTCCCATTAAGGCTTTATATTTTTTTAAAGAGTGATGGTATTTCATGTGTATATTATGGGAATTAGCACTATATTCACAGTTAATGGCCCCATGTAGGCTTTGTTGATGAGTCGGATGTAAGTCGGATGTCTGTAACTTGGGGACTGCCTGTATAGCTTTGTTGTTCTTATTCCAGGGGTCCCCAAACCTTTTGAACAGAGGGCAGGGTCACAGTCCCGCAAACTGTTGGGGGGCCGGATTATAATTTGAAAAAAAACATGAATGAATTCCTATGCACTCTGCACATATATTATTTGCAGTGCAAACCCCCCCCCCCAAAAAAAACAAAGACCCACACTTCTATATAAATAAAAATGTAATGTTCGTTTGTGGGATTAACAGAACTCAAAAACCACTGGACGAATTGACACCAAATTTGGACACAAGACACCTAACAACCCAATGTATGTCCTTCACTCAAAAAAAAAATGATTTTGTCATTTGGGAGTTGTAGTTGCTGGGATTTATAGTTCACCTACAATCAAAGAGTATTCTGAACCCCACCAACGATGGAATTGAACCAAACTTGGCACACATTTCTCCCATGACCAACTGAAAATAGTGGAAGGGTTTGGTGGGCAGTGTCCTTTGGTTTTGGAGTTGTAGTTCACCAACATTCAGAGATCATTGTGGACACAAACAATGATGGATCTGACCAAACTTGGCACTGATATTCCATATGCCCAAATGTGAACACTTGTGGAGTATGGGGGAAATAGAATCTTGACGTTTGAGAGTTGTAGTTGCTGGGATTTATAGTTCACCTACAATCAAAGAGCATTCTGAACCCCATCAACGGTGGAATTGAACCAAACTTGGCACACAGTTCTCCCATGACCAATGGAAAATATTGGAAGGGTTTGGTGGGCAGTGTCCTTTGGTTTTGGAGTTGTAGTTTACCTGCCTCCTTGGAGACCAGAGCGGCCGGAGCAGAGGGTTCCTGCAAAGGCCGGAGCGGCGCCGGGTGGGCGTGGCCAGAGAACGCCAGAGAACGCTTGGCCTGGCCACGGCCACCCGGCACCGCTCCGGCCTTCGCAGGAACCCTCTGCTCCGGCCGCTCTGGTCTCCAAGGAGGCAGGTAAACTACAATTCCAAAACCAAAGGGCACTGCCCACCAAACCCTTCCAGTATTTTCTGATGGCCATGGGAGGCAGAGGGTTCCCACGATGGGCGGAGCGGTGCGCGGGCCGTGGTTTGGGGACCCCTGTCTTATTCTGTGGTGAGATCAATAACTTTCTCATGTGTCAAATTATGTGTCGCCCTATGAAACATATGAGTCAAATCTGTCCTCAATATAAGGTATGCAGAAACTGCCTAGTAAAATATTGATGACCTCTCAGGTCAAACTGGAAGGGGACAACTAAGCCACAACCCCATACAAGCTAACTACAGCATGAATGATTGATGAAGTCTTCTGCCAACAGTTGACCAAACAGGCACAGAGAAGAGATGTAGTAGTCATGGGCGATTTCAACTATCCCGATATTTGCTGGAAAACAAACTAGGCCAAGAGTACAAAGTCCAACAAATTCCTCGCTTGCCTTGCAGACAATTTCATGGTCTAGAAGGTAGAAGAGGCAACAAGGGGATTGGCTACTCTTGATCTCATCCTAACAAATGTGGAGGACCTGATCGATGTGGTTGAAGTGGTAGGATCCTTAGGGGCAAGTGACCATGTGCTCCTGCAATTTGAGGTACAAAGAAAGGCCGAAACTAAGACAAGTCAAACCCGCATTTTGGACTTTAGGAGAGCTGATTTCCAAAAAATGAAGGAAACACTGAGCAGCATTCCGTGGACACAGATACTAAAAGACAAGGGAGTTACGGATGGATGGGAGTTTCTCAAGAGTGAAATACTCAAGGCGCAGTTGCAAACCGTGCCAACAAAAAGAAAAAATAGGACAAGTGCAAAGAAGCCAGAATGGATGTCCAAAGAACTTCTAACTGTGCTGAGACACAAAAGAGACATGCACAAGAAGTGGAAAAAGGGAGAAATCACCAAAGAAGAATTCAAACAAATAGCCAACACCTGTAGGGAAAAGGTCCGCAAGGCTAAAGCACAAAACGAGCTCAGGCTTGCCAGGGACATTAAAAACAATAAAAAGGGATTCTTTTCTTATGTCAGCAGAAAAAGGAAAAACAAGGAGGCGATAGGGCCTCTTCGAGGAGAAGATGGGGCAATGCTGACAGGGGATAGGGAAAAGGCAGAACTACTAAATACCTTCTTTGCCTCGGTCTTCTCACAAAAAGAAAGTCATCTTCAACCTCAGCAAGACGGAGTGGATGAGGGATTTGAGGACATCCAACTCCAAATTGGGAAACAAGTCGTACAGGAATACCTGGCCGCTCTAAATGAGTTCAAGTCCCCAGGGCCAGATCAACTACACCCAAGAGTATTGAAGGAACTAGCGGAAGTCATTTCGGAACCATTGGCAACCATCTTTGAGAGTTCTTGGAGAACGGGAGAAGTTCCAGCAGATTGGAGGAGGGCCAATGTGGTCCCAATCTTCAAGAAGGGAAAAAAGGATGACCCAAACAACTACCGTCCGGTCAGCCTCACGTCAATACCAGGCAAGATTCTGGAAAAGATTGTTAAGGAAGTGGTCTGCAAACACTTAGAAACAAATGCGGTCATTGCTAATAGTCAACATGGATTTATCAAAAACAAGTCATGCCAGACTAATCTGATCTCTTTTTTCGATAGAGTTACAAGCTGGGTAGATACGGGAAATGCCGTGGATGTAGCGTACCTGGATTTCAGTAAGGCCTTCGACAAGGTCCCCCATGACCTTCTGGCAAGGAAACTAGTCCAATGTGGGCTAGGCAAAACTACGGTGAGGTGGATCTGTAATTGGTTAAATGGACGAACCCAGAGGGTGCTCACCAATGCTTCCTCTTCATCCTGGAAAGAAGTGACGAGCGGAGTGCCGCAGGGTTCCATCCTGGGCCCGGTCCTGTTCAACATCTTTATTAATGACTTAGATGAAGGGTTAGAAGGCAGGATCATCAAGTTTGCAGACGACACCAAATTGGGAGGGATAGCCAATACTCCAGAGGACAGGAGCAGAATTCAAAATGATCTTGACAGATTAGAGAGATGGGCCAAAACTAACAAAATGAAGTTCAACAGTGACAAATGCAAGATACTCCACTTTGGCAAGAAAAACGAAATGCAAAGATACAGAATGGGGGATGCCTGGCTCGAGAGCAGTACGTGTGAAAAAGATCTTGGAGTCCTCGTGGACAACAAGTTAAACATGAGCTAACAATGTGATGTGGCGGCAAAAAAAGCCAATGGGATTTTGGCCTGCATCAATAGGAGCATAGTGTCTAGATCAGCGGTTCTCAACCTGGGGGTCGCGACCCCTCGGGGGGTCGTTTGGCCATTTTCTGGGGGTCGCGAAGCCGCATTGGCTGGCCACGCCCCCTCCAAAATGGCGGCCGACCCCCTGCGCCTCTGGCATTCCCGCGCGCGAAGCCATCCGCCTGTCCCTCATCTCCTTTTGATGGCAGAAGGAGGTGAGGGATGGGCAAGTGGCTCCTTGGGCACCCCTCGCCTGCTCCGCTCTCCCGCCGGCCGGCAGGGGTGCAGAGCAGGCGGGGGCCTTTGGAGCAAGGCCTTGCGCCAGGCGCCTTCGCCTGCTCCGCTCTCCCGCCGGCCAGCGGGAGTGCAGAGCAGGCAAAGGTCTTTGGAGCAAGGCCTTCCGCCAGGCGCCCTCGCTTGCTCCGCTCTCCCGCCGGCCGGCGGGGGTGCGGAGCAGGCGAGGGCCTTTGGAGCAAGGCCTTGCGCCAGGCGCCCCTCGCCTGCTCCCCTCTCCCGCCGGCCGGCGGGGGTGCGGAGCAGGGGAGGGCCTTTGGAGCAAGGCCTTGCGCCAGGCGCCCTCGCCTGCTCCGCTCTCCCGCCGGCCGGCGGGGGTGCGGAGCAGGCGAGGGCCTTTGGAGCAAGGCCTTGCGCCAGGCGCCCTCGCCTGCTCCGCTCTCCCGCCGGCCGGCGGGGGTGCGGAGCAGGCGAGGGCCTTTGGAGCAAGGCCTTGC